CCGTCAAGGCGGACAGCCTGGACGATGGCTCGGACCCAGTTGGCCACCACTACAGTGGAGATGCAGACACCCAGGCCACGCACCGCGCCGGCGAACCATTCTGTCTTGCGCACTTCCGGCACGTAGCTCTCGAGCTGAGCCAGGTCGGATTCGGCGGAGGCCGAGCTTACCACCGTGTTCTCGACCGCGGTGTTGAGCGACATGAGCGAGGGCGAGCGAGACACCATGCTGTGTCGGGCCGAGGCCGTCGGATCGGCAGTGATGGACCACACGTAGTCGACCAGCAGGCGCTCGAAAGCGCGGACCTGCTCGATGAGATCTCGGCACGATTCGGTCCAAATCACCAGCACCTGTTCGGTGTCTGAAAATGCGGCCATCTGAGCACGACGAGCACCGCCGAGGTAGTCGAGGCTCCTGACCACCTGAACACGCTTGGAGGAGCTCAGGCGGATCTCGTTTTCTCCTTGGTTGAGCGTGGAGAGGGCAGCTGCAACCAGCGGGGTGTTGATGATGATGGCCGCGTCACAGTTGAGCTCGAGCATGGCTCGCGAGAAGGCAGGCATGGATGAGCCCTCCTGCGGGTAGAGGATGTAGCTTCCGACGTTGACGCGGACGGCCACAGCGTTGGAGAAGTTGTCTTGACGGCACCATTTTTCGGTGACAGCGACCGAAAAGATATGGCGAGCGAGGACGAGCGAGGCGTGGATCGCATCGGTGGAGGCACCCGCCTCGCTTGGATCTTCCGAAGTCGAGTGGAATGTGAACGAGCCCGGAGAGGTGGTGGAGGGAGATGTGGTAAGAATGTACGAGTCGGTGCGACGTGACGAGCCGTGTCTCTGCTTTCCGGAAGACGAGCCCATCTGATGGTTGCTGGAGGAAGAGGCGGATGAAGACGGAACGTGGCGATCCTCGTCATCCGACTCTATCACTTCCATCTCGTCTTCGTAATCGCCGAACGGGCGAGCCCGAGCGTGGCCAGCGTTACTTGAAGACGGAGTCAGGCTGTGGTTGAACGTCGGCAGCGAAGGAAGCGACGCAATGCTTGAGGCGGAATCGGTGCGCTTCATCTTGCAGACAGCTGCGTATTAGCGATGGGGAGGTGGAGGATGCTTGAGAGTGCGTAAGCGAAGGAGATGTAGGAGCTACTTGACGGAAGAGGAAAAGGCCGTCACAGGATTGAGATGGAAGGGAAAAGGGGAGGGTGCAAGACCTTCGAGAAAGATAAGCAAAAGGGACGACAATGAAGATAGGTTGGAAAGACAAGCGAGAGCGAGACGACGCTGATGGAAGGGGAAGAAGAAGGAGATATGAATGGCAGGATGAGAGAAGTTATGAGCCTGGGCCAAACGCACAAACGGGGGTGACCCTTATGGAGAGATTGCACAAGCTATACGGTGAGAGAACCTTGGTATCGATAAGGGCATCAACACTGGGCAAGCTGACGGTGCATTCTGGTAAAGCTCAGAGGCCGTGTCAAGCAAGATGGGCCGTGACTGTTGCATTGCAAGCCGCGAAGCAGTGGAGCTCGCACCCGTCTGATGGATTTCGAGGCGGACATGCCATAACGAGTGAATTTGGGACGCAGGCAATGCTTGGATCGAGGGGAGACGGAGCGAACCAGCCGAGACATGCAGGTAGGTGTTCTAGCCGCCCCGAAAGAGGAGACCGGTCAGTGTGGTCGACGCAAAAAGGGTACGAGATGCTGGACAGCTGACACCTGGATGGCGGAGGTGCTTACCTGGGCGCGCACTCGGAAGTAGATTCTCGATTCGGGTCACGCGAAGCGCACCCAGGACGCAGACCCAAAGTGTGAAGGCCGCAGGATGGTTTGAAGAAGGTTCGCCGGCAGTCGCACAGTCTTGTGGGACCAGCGCGGAAGACACGCAGGAAGGTGTAAGCGATTCACCGCACAAGCGGTGTGGGAGCCGAGGCATCGAGCAAAGCGCCCACGTTCCGTTGTCGGATGATCACGATCGGCAGAAGAGCGATACATTCCGACGGGCGTTCCTGGGCCGGCGTAATACCAGTATCCACGGAAAGGCGCCTAGTTGGCGAGCTTCTTGCGCGGGCGGAGTAAATTCGATGCGCGCAGACTTCAAAGCCTCGAACTCAGGGAGAGGAGCTGGGCGGAGCTGCAGGATATGGCCGCAGAATGAGGGTCCAGCGAGTTTGACAGCCCGACTGCCGGATGTCGAACGAAGCGCGAGGGAGCGACAAGCATGCCGAGCTGGGCGAGCCGGGCGAGGGGGCCGAAAGGTCGAGGAAAGAGTGGTCCATCTGTTTGTCGGACTCACGCGCCGACAGTGTGCCTGTCTTGCGGAGTTGCGTGGGTCCAGAGTTGTGCGTGCAGGTGGGCGGATCTGTTTGCCGGCATGCATCCAGCTATTCGGCCCACACCCGGGTACATGACGACATGGATGGCGGCGACTGAAAGTGGAATTTGGGCGTGGAAGCGGCTCTGGCGCCAGCAGCAAAGGCGTCGCCGTCGCTTCGGCTGGCATGAAGGGCATCCAGGTCTTAGCCGCACTTGCGGCTCACCGGTGAGACCAAAATGTCTCGGAGGAAAGATCATGCAGCTGCGAAAAAGATTTAGCGATAGAAGCGCACCCGGGATATTTTGGGCGCAATGCATAACGGCCGCCTCGAGTGCCACACCTGGTCGATCGGCGCAGGTCCCAGAAGAGCCGGACAAACAACAGAGTGCGCAGAATTCCGAAACATTCTAGCTACTCCAATCTGCGCTACGATAGCTTTCCCGGTCTCGGCGTGGGAATCTCCGGTGCAGGGACGACGGAGAGGCGAACGAGTTCACCAGCGTCCATCAGCTTGTATGTCTCACCGCGATCGTGTTCGGAAGGTGACTGTCACAGGCTTGCCGGACGCTCGCGATAATCGTGGGCGGATTCGGCCATCGCTGCGCCCCCAACCATCTCCACGCCCAAAGTTTGTGCTCTGCCCCTGATTCGTCTGCATTGCCGCGGCTCCGATACGGCATTGTACAGTACTGTACTGAACTGTACAGGCTCGAGAATGTGAAGAGTGTCGTGGGTGATGCGAGGATTGCGAGCTCTTCTGGGCCGGGACGGCACCTTGGTATGAATGTCCTTCCTCGCGCTTTCCCTCCTCCCCTTCCCCTTCAGCCTCTGCTCTTCCCACATAACGCCAGCATCTTCCTTCTCGGAATCTTCCCTTCCGTCTACGATATCATTGCTTCGAATCGTGGTCGAAGCTTCCGCGCCCCCTTTCCATTCATCATCCTCCGTCGCATCACAGTCCACGATGACTGGGCCTTCTGGTACCGTTACTCCCAGCGAGGAGAAGAGCTTTAGCTGGTCTCCTTCCTCGCAGGTTCCTCACTTCCTGCGCAACCACTACAGGACGAGCAGCAATGGTCATTCCACTCCAGGGTTCCCCTCTTCCGGCAACAACAGCGCTGCATCCTCGGCCATCCATCTTCCCAACTCCAATTCCTACAGCTCGGGTGGCACGAGCGAGAAGATCGAGCCATCCTCGTCTTTTCAGACAGTCCCTGTCCTCGGAGCGCAAGCAGGGAACGCGCGATCGACTCAACCCTCTTCAATGGCAGGCGTAGAAGACACCGGCTCGAAACAGGCGGGAAAGCAGAAGCACAGTCTCGCCTTTGGCTTCTTCGGCCTCCTTTCAGTCATCTTGGCCGCCGTCGTGATTGCATTCGGCTGGATCAATACGCCACAGCAAAAGCTCTGCCTCGCCTTCGAAGACGACTTCTCCGGCCGAACCACGCTCAACACCGACAACTGGGAGTACGAGGTGAGGACCGACGGCTTCGGTAATCATGAGTTCGAGATGACTACCGCACAGTCCAACAACTCGTTCATCGAAGATGGCAAGCTCTACCTGGTCCCTACGCTCACCTCGGATGAGATCGGCGAGACTGCGATCACGGGCAACTACACCTACAGCCTCAACAGCACCTGCACCGCCTTTCCTCAGACCCAGGGCGCCTGCGAGACCAGCTCGAATGCGACGCTCGGCACCGTCATCCAGCCGATCAAGTCGGCTAGGATCCGCACCAAAGCTTCCATCAGCAGGGGCAGGATCGAGGTTCGCGCTCGTCTTCCCGTTGGCGACTGGATCTGGCCAGCGATTTGGATGATGCCCGAAGACTCCGTCTACGGAGAGTGGCCTCGCAGCGGCGAGATCGACATTGTCGAATCCAAGGGCAACACAGTCCAGTCCCTCCAGGACCGATACCAGAACTCGGTCACGTCGACGCTTCACTGGGGACCCTCGGCGGTCACGGATCGATGGGGCCTCACCACTTCCAACTTCTCGGTTCCCCGTGACTACTTCTCCGAGGATTTCCACACCTTTGGCCTCGACTGGACCCCGACATCGCTGACCACTTGGGTGGACAAGCCCAGCCGCCACATCATGAAGCTCGACATGAACCGCGACTTCTTCGCGTTCAGCCGTCTGTCGCATCTGCTCTGGAACGGCACTGCCATTCAGGATCCCTGGAATGGAAAGAAGGGAGCGCCCTTTGATCAGAAGTTCTACCTGATCCTCAACGTCGCTGTCGGTGGCACCAATGGCTACTTCAGCGACGCCGAGCGCAACAAGCCTTGGCAGAACGCCGGCTCCAACCCTGTCGCGGACTTCTGGGCCGCAAGGACGCGATGGCTTCCTTCGTGGCCGAGCGACCCCAAGAAGCGTGGCATGGCCATCGACTCGGTCAAGATGTGGCAGCGTTGTTAGGCGGCCCATCCTCCCTCACAAGTTCGGCCATGTGGTCTATCGGTCGACTTGTTGCTTCTTGGTGATCAAGATTGATCTCGTCGCTGTGGTATATAGCAATGAATTTAATAAGAACGGCTTCTTGCAATGCTTTCAATATGGACAGAGGATGCACCCGTCAAAGCTTGGTGAGCATCGGAAACCGAGACGGTCTTGAGCCTCGCCGAGTGCGAAGGTAGAAACAGCACTACTTGGGTGTGAAAACTTGAAGCCAGGCAAAAATGACGGGATGGACAGATTCCGAGCTGGATCTGCGATTCCGACGCCAAAAGCAGTGCAGAAAGCATCCAACTGCAGGTTCATGCTCGAGACCAAGGAACATTGTTCCGCAAAGCGAGGTGCACAGACGCAGACGCAAAGTGGGGTCGAGCCGGAGAATGAGAGAAGCGTTCTACTTGCAAGGAAGAGGGTGACAGTACTAAGGAACAGAAAGCGCCTGATGAGGTATTGATGCCGAAAGGAGTGTTGATCGCTCTAGCACTTCTGCCACATGCGGACCCGGTCGACGGCCATGCCTCGCTCCCTGGGATCGGTTGCCCAGCTGGGATACCACTTCTTGACATTCTGCCAGAAGGTCGTTGCCGGGAAGGCCGACTCCGAGTTCCAGACGACATCGTCTGTGCCCGCAAAGTACTTGCCACCGACGGCGACGTTGAGGATGAGGTAGAAGTGCTGATCAAATGGCGCGATGTTGGGATTTTCGCTGCGGATCCACGGATTGTGGATCGGAGGGTCGAGCTGAATGTCTCCAAACTTGCCGTACTCCCACATGGGCTCCTTGGGGAACTCAAAGTACGAGATGGTGGTTCGCGGGTCATCGACGTAGACGCGCATGCGTTTCTCGTTCCATTCCAGGACGTAGTTGTGGTAGCCTTGGTTGAAGTAGTTGCGCCATCGGAACTGATAGCCCGTGTGGTGGCCGCCGGCGTTGCTCCTCCAGTCTGGACCGAAGTGGTAGGAGGATTGGACGGAGCCGGTAGCTCGCTGATCCATTCGATGGCGCGGCATGTTGCCCGAGGATTCCATCAGGTCGATCTCACCGCTTGCGGGCCATTCGCCGTACGCCGAGTCGCGTGGCATCATCCAGATCGCTGGCCACAGCCAGTTTCCTGTGGGTAGCTTCGCCCTCACCTCGACCTTGCCATAGCGAATGGAAAACGACTTTTTGGTGGTGATTCGCGTGCTTTGCACTGGGTTGACCATGCGACCTTCGTCAAAGTTGTTGCCAGCTTGGCAGTCGGTGTCTTTCTCGCTTGTGCAGTTGCCAGCGGCGGTGAGATCGAGTTTGAATCCGTCAAGGTTGAAGTACGGCGCCCACAGGTTCTGCACTGTAAGGGTTGGCACCAGGTAGAGCTTGCCGTCCTCGACGTACGTGTTGGCTTCGGAGTCTGTGGTCCAGTCAAATGACCCGGTACCATACCCTCCCAGCTGAATCTCGTGGCTCCAGGTCGACTTGTTGAAGCCTTTGGAAAAGTCGTCATCGAGGACGAGACAGAGCTTATCTTGCTTTTCGACGCGCAGAACACCGTCGAGCACGACGGCGACCATGGCGGCGATGCCCAACAGGACACCGATCAGGACTACCCGCTTGTTTTTGGACTGGATCTGCTTCGCTTCTTTGCTGTTGAGCCACGCGAGACGCTCTCTCGCGGCGTCCGAGTTGGTACCCAACTTCTCCATGGCCGATGCTTGTGTGGATGAGCAGACCCGAGGTGGTGGTTTCCGAGCTACTTGCGGAGCTTCTTGTTCAGCTTTGTGACGAGTTGAGGATGTGAGTATTCAGAGCAGATGCAGGTAGGACAGGAAGATACTCGAGCTGAAGGAAGGGAGTGAGGGAGAAGAAGGCAACCGCGGCGGTCGTTGACAATGTGCGGAAGAGAGGCGAAGAAGGGTGGAGGCAGGCCGATGGCTGGAGGAAAGAGACCGCTGCAGGCGAAACCATGGCTCGCACAGGCCGAAGCAGCCACAACAAGGGTTCGACTGAGAAAGATTGCGAGATGATCCGCAGCTGCGAGCCCAGTCAAACGCGAGCCAGGGCGAACTTTGGAAGGCCGAGATTCGATCTCGTCACCAAGAGGAGCACAGCGCAGAGCGCGCACGAGCGTCGGCTCCGTTCATGGTGCGGCGAGGGCGTCCTTGCGACGTGTGGTGCTAGCTCGGTCTACAAAGTTGCGCCATCACGCCGTAGGGAGGTCAGGGTGGTCTTGAGACCGAGCCCATACCGTGCTGAATCGTTGTCGGCGCTCAGGCGCTCCGGCGCTGCGTGGGCTGCATCGGTGAAGCCGGGGTCCGGAATATCTTTTGAGCCACCCAAGTCTCATTCGAGAATCGGAGCAGCATTTTTTCGGGTGCAAGTCCATGTCTCGCTGCAAATCCTGGCTTGCAGACTTGGATCAAACAAATCTGGTTTCAGCGCAATCCAGTTTCACTCGCGCACCATCACTGGCCGGCTCATGCTTGCCATGGAATGGCGTGGATCGCTCTCGGCGCCGCTTTTATGCAGCTAGAGGCCAGTCCTGCGTCGCAATGATCGGCTACGAGGTCGATCGATATGGGAATTCGAACAAGCTTGGCGGGCGTGTGTCGGGCTTCGACCTGCAGGTGGGGAGCCAAGTCGAACGCCTTGACGACTTCTCCGCTTGGAGGTAGCTTTCTCATGTACGGCAAACCTGGCGTATACTGGGGCCTCTGCGCTACTCTGCTAAGGCACTGTCGTCTCGGAGGCGGCTGTCCTGGACTTAGCTTCAGCTTGACATCACCCATGCAAGCCTCCTCTACCCTTCGGCTTCACTTTTTCTTCCGCTGCCCTCCCAGAACAGCGGAGGGGGACATTTGTTCAAAGCTACGAATACCACCCCCTGGTCCTTCTACCCATCCTCTCAAGCATTCCGAGCCCAGCTCGTGTTCCTCGCCCTTCACTCCTTCCTTCTTCCTCCACTGTCCGTCCTCATCAACATCCGTTTCGCTTCGTCTTTCATCAACACCCTTGGAAAGGCTCGAACCGTGGCCTGCATCCTAAGCAAGACTCAAGATGGCTTCAAACTTCTCTCGCAGTGGTCTCATGACCCAGGCGACGCAGGCCTTTCACGCAATCTCGTCATCGACGTTTGCGGCAGGGGCGAGGCTGAGCGATTCGCCCTCTCCAGCTGCAGCGCTCTCCGCATCCTACACCAACGAGCAATCGAACGAGCATTCGGTCGTTACGGGACAAGGCACTCTGCAGTTCCATCTCGCTCAACAGATCGCAGAATCCATGTTCCTCAAAGCTCGTCGTGTCAACCTGGTGCGAGATGGCCACGACAATGACGGCATCTTCCTCCGCGCACATGACAACACGTATGCAGCGTATCCCATGGATGCTTACCGCGGCGTGGCGATGCAGAGCATCAAGAAGCTTCGCTGCGAAGCGGCCATCATAATCTCTTCCGAGATCATCGATTCTGCCCTGAGCACTCTTCAGCCAAACCAGACAGAGCTCATCCTCACACCAAAACAAAGAGTACAGGTCGTCAAGAGCCTGGACCACCTCTGGTCGTGCCGGAAGGGCCAAGGCGCAGCCTTCATCCAGGCAGAGGCCATCATGGTCGTGTGGACTGAAGATGGAAAGGACCTCTTGGATGCTGCTGTCAGCTTCCAAAACCACGTCCTCGACTACTTCGAGTCGCTCAGGCGAGGAAGCTACGTCTCGAACCTCCTGCAGCACAGCTCTAGCAACGCCTCCATCTACCGAGGCATCGGGCATTCGCGAAACGGCAGCACCGCGAGCTCGGCTGCATCTTCGCAGACTCGACTTCCCTCGCTGTCCTCGCACTCCGATCTCGGCCACGCGAAGCTCGCAGGTCTCACGCCGCGTCACAGGCCCTCTCCGTCGCTTTCGGGTAGCTCGGACGAGAAGAAAGGCGCCTTCGGCGAGAAGTCCGGCGGAGACATGGACTCATCCCTCGAAGCAGGCATGGTACCCGAGCTGGCTACCACGAAGCGTCCAGTCTACTCGCTTGCTCCGTTTCTGACGGGACTGAGCCTCGGATTGAATCTTCTTTTCAGCGGCATCTTCCTGCGCCGTATCATCGTGACCGCCGTCACCCTCAACAACTACCTCTACCTCCTTGCCATCCTGGCAATTCCATTCACCATGATGTTGACCCAGTTCTTCACCGACAACATCTTCGGATGCATCGCCCAGATTCTGCTCCCATACGGCAACATGAAGAAGAACTCCCTCTACTACTCGGGCGAAAAGCCCATCCCCCTGCCCATTGATGTGGCGCTGCCTTCGATCACGATTCAAGTGCCTGTCTACAAGGAATCCCTCGAGGGTGTCATCGCTCCCACGATCCTCGACATGAAGAAGGCTATGAAGACTTACGAGCTGCAGGGCGGCAAGGCCAACATCCTCGTTTGCGAGGACGGTATGCAGCTCCTCGACGAAGAGGAGCAGCAGAAGCGCCGGGAATTCTACCAGACTCAGGGTTGCGGTTGGGTATCGCGACCCGGACACGGCCGCAATGGCTTCGTGCGTGCCGGCCGCTTCAAAAAGGCTTCCAACCTCAACTTTGTCCTTGACTTCAGCTTCGACGTCCAGCAGCTCCTCGACGGAGGCCGTGCGAAGAGCTACGACGAAGCGCTGGAAATGGCACTGCAGGCACGAGACGGAGTCGCTTGGGCGGAAGGAGACGTCCGTCTTGGAGACTACATCTTCCTGATCGACTGCGACACCCGAATTCCCACCGATGCCTTCCTTGACGCCGCGAGCGAGATGGAGACAAGCCCGGAAGTGGCCATTCTTCAGCACTGCTCGGGCGTCATGTACGTCGCGGACCACTTCTTCGAGAACATGATGGGATTCTTCACCGACATTGTCAACTGGTCCATCTCGTGGCTTGTCGCCTGCGGAGCTACCGCTCCCTTTGTGGGCCACAATGCATACTTGCGAACCTCGGCACTCCTCCAGGTCTCGGAACGCGATGCGAAGACTGGCCAGCTGATCACGTGGTCCGAGAACTCGGTTTCCGAGGACTTTGACATGTCGCTTCGCCTCCAGCTCCAGGGCTACGTTGTGCGCTGGGCCACCTACTCGAACCTCGGCTATCTCGAAGGCGTGTCGCTGACACCGTCCGACGAGCTCAACCGATGGCAGAAGTACGCTTTCGGATGCTCGGAGATCATCCTGCAGCCTCTGCGATACTGGGTGACCAAGGGCCCTCTCACGCCACTGTTCAAGCGCTTCATCACGAGCGACAAGTGCAGTCTTTCGCAGAAGATCACAGTCTCCTCGTACATGTTCAGCTACTATGCGCTCGCCATGAGCCTGCCATTCGCCATCGCCATGTTCCTGGTCGTTGGTCTCATGGACAACGTCACCAGCCTCTACATCGTCGACTCCTTCAAGGTCTGGCTCTCGATCCTTGTCGTCTTCTCAGCCGGCGGCACCGTAGCCAGACTGCTGTGCTTCCTGAGGAGCAGACAGAAGGGCTTCCTGCATGCGCTCAAGAGGCAGTTCGTCTACTTTTGGCCCATGATCGTCTTCTTCTCTGGTCTTCCCTACCACATCCTCCTTGCCATCCTGGCTCACCCGATCGAGTACAACATGACGTGGGCGGCCACCCAGAAGGACGTGCAAGAGACCAGCCTGGTGGATGAGATCAAGGACATCCTCTCTCGATACTGGCACTGCTACCTGGTCATGACGAGCTTCATCGCTCTCATGCTCCTCTTCGGCACCAACCTCCTGAGCCAAGAGTTTTGCATCTACGGATTCAACCTTTTCTGGCCGGGTTCGATCACCATCTTCGGACACTTTATGTATCCGATCCTTCTGAGCCCCGTCTTCATGCGCTTCAACTTCTAGACGGATCCCCTCATGTTCTTGTTGGTTCTTCACACGCTCCTTGCCAATGTCACCTGCTTCAAACACACATGTCTCGAGGTGCCATCCGGTACGATCATGCTGAGGCGAAAACGTCACAATCAGCCACCGCCTTGCTAGTCGACCTCCCACGACGGGATCGCTGTGCAACATCCGCGTATGGAGAGTCGTTGGTGGCTCGACCGTGTCGCCTCGGTGGGGTACTTCCGGCTGGGTGGGTCCGCGAGGTGACGCCTTCATTATCTGCCCTCGATGCGTATTCGCGGCTCGAAAACATCTTGTGGGCGGTGCCCCGCTGTTGGGTAAGAATTCGATGGCTCGCAAGATTGTGCAGGACTGTGCTGTAAGTTCATGTTGCCAGATGAAGTGATAACGCCACTGTGCCCCACCAGCAAAGCGTCACTCAATGTGGGCTTTCGCAATGGTGGGTGCCCGGAAAGTCTCTCGCCTTGCGTTCGCAAGTCACTGGTATCGATATAAACACCCGTCCGTCTGAGCGTCCTGTCCACCTCCTCATCCACACACGCCTCTTTCGATATGGTCTTCAGGTCTCTCTGCATCCTGGGTCTTGCCGACCTCTTTGCCAGCGCCTTAGCGGACGATCCCATGGGCAGGTTCGCGACGGACGACAGCAAGGTTGGCCAGTACTGCAACGTCAACACTGCTCCGCAGGGCGAGAACTTTGTTTGCTTTCGATACAACAGCGACATCAGAGCCCACATGTCTTCGACCGATTCTTCAGTGCATGGATACGTCAACGCGGCCGGAACAAGTAAGTCTAGAACCTTGACGCGAGCGCTCTACGGCAATATGTGCTGACTAGATCCGAGTGTAGTGTTTGTGGTTATGTTCGACGGTCAGATAGAGGCATTCAGCACAGACAGGACGGATGTGTTAATCAGCCCTAGTAGTCCTTGTCCGGAGGTCAGCGCGCTTGACAGCGGTGGCGAAACCAGCGAGTTCCAGGGTTGCCCCTGGACCGAGCCCATCTTGATCTACTAGCCCACCACATGCATGGTGGGATGGCGCCACGTCGTTCTTCATTCTCGGGTCTAGCGTTGCATAACGATCATGTGCACAGGTGATGCCCCCTGTGCAATGCTTAGTTACGCCCCGTCTACACCCTCTGTGCCTTTTTTTCTGGGCGTTTCAGTCTGCATCTTTGTATGCGATTCTCAGATTGTCTTGACGGATCCAAAATAAAAAAAAAATAAAAAAAATAAA